TGGCTATTATTGTCAAAAGCTTAATAGTTATGGCTATGCATGTGTATTTTTCCTAATTATTATTAACATAGCCTCTGAACTATTATCATTGAGACCTTCAGGTTGATTGTTTGGTACTCGTTACCAAGAAAGTTGATAGTTTCAGTTTTGATTTTACCAAAATTTGTGTAGGCTCTTCCTTCATGAAATTCATATCCACACCAATCACAACCTCTGGTGGAGTATTCTGATAGGTGGCTCCTCTTGAAGCTCCTTCTTTGGTTGGATAGGTTGAGATGGTTGCTCCTCTAGTGGCTCCTCTCTTTCATTCACCATTTGAGGTTGATCGTCCTTGTTTGACTTCTCATCCACAATCTCTTCTTCAATGCTCAGTTTCAAGGGTTTTATTGAACTTCGAATAAGAGGTGTACGGGGGTCATCATACTCGGACTCTCCTCATTGAAGGTTCCAATGGTGGATGCCTTGGTAGGTGAAGTACTTTTGGATTCAGATTGAAGAAAGCGTAGGAAGTGTTCAAAACCTTCGAGTGGTATAAAACCTTCAACATCTTCTCAAGAATTCAAAAACGTTTGGATGAGTGTAAGTTCTTCAATAGAGCATCTTTCTTCCTTTGTTGTTACTCATAGGGGTTTTATCTCATCCTCTTCTTCAGAAGTTGTAAAATCATCTTCATCGTATAATAGAATTTGTTGGTCTCTAGATGATCTTCTTCTTTAGGCTTTTTGATAGGTTGATCATCATTCTCTTCCAGGATAGGTTGAGGATGATTGATTGTTGCCTCCATGGTTTGTAACTCCATTATCTGTAAGATGCTTTCGTCAAGTTGTGAGTAGCTTTCTTTGTCCTTTGCATCTTCTTGGGGGGGGGGGGGGGGTTGCTTGCATTCTTCTTACAAAGATTGAGTTATAAACTAATCTTCTTCTCCATTGACCTCATGTTGATGCTCGTTTCCATGGTCCATGATCTCTCCATCTTCTTCCTAGTCGTACGTGTTAGCATTGAGATTATCTTCCTTCTCTTCATGGTCCATGAAATATTCATGCTCCATGAGCCCTTCTTGCACCTTGACCTCTTCAAAAACTTCATGCACTTCATTGGAACTTTCTTTATCGGCTTCAAGATGCTCCTCGATGATTTGAGCATCTTCTAGTAGCTGCTTTGGCTCTTCATCTTTGATGCTAGCATCGATGCTCCTAGGAGGTTGTGACTTGATCTTGTCTCTTGTATATTGATAAATTTCAAGCTTGCTTCATCTCCTCTATATAGGGTAATCTTCATACTTCTCTCTTAGTAGCTTCGTATCTTCTGGATCAATTCCTTCACAATCCCACATGACAGGAGTCCTTTGTTGAGAGTAGCGTAGTGGAGGGTGGTTGATGGTGCTTGCTTTGGCTTTTGATTCTCTTTGGCAAATTTTTCTTCCTTCTTTTTGGTATCAAGTCCTTGGATGGATTGTTATGGCTTCCTTGGGTATGAATCCTGCAAAACAAAACCAACTAGAGAGTAATAATTTTCTTTTATATGAAATGAAAATCCAATAAAAGAGGTTAGTTTCTTTTAATTACTGTAAAAATCTCCAACAACGGCGCCAAATACTTGATGTAGTTAACATAAGTGATAATCCTAGATGTGCCTATGGTTGTACTCCACGAGTTCTTTTGATAGTAACTACTTAATCCTGACCAAAATTATTCTAGTAAACCAATGCAAGAAAGTAAATGAAGTGAGTTGAGGTGCCCAAAGATGTCGAGTTACTAATCTACTAATGCAAGTAAACAAAGAAAAACAAGAATGCAAGCAAGTAAAGGAATGTTTAGGTAGTGTTTTCTAGATGGTCATGCACACTAACTCCTCAATGAGATCCTTCCATGCATCATCTATCATGATGACATATCCCTTCCTCTAAAGCCACTCTCTATTCGTGCATGCACCTCTTGCGATAGAGATTTGACTAGCTAATGCATGCTCTTGCTTCATGCCATCACCTCATCAATGAAGAACAAGGAAGTTAGGATAAATCACTGATAATTGTTGGCTTCTACGAACCATGACGATGGCCTATAACATCGATCTCTTGTAAATGCATGCATAAATACATCCAACTAAACAAGCATACATAAGGCAATGTGATACCACTATATGATAATCTCTTGACCACCTAAATGATATTAAGGAAAATACTATAGTAGCATCTAATAGGGTCACATGCATAGAAAAACTAAAGCATTCAACAGGTAAAGCATCGATAGTCTCAAGCAATAGATGATACAAGCATTGATGATAAAGGCATAGAACATAATGGCATTATCATTGGATCATTAAAAGTAATACACAAAGCATCATAGGATTCACATCTCTAAACAGATCGAGCTAGCTAAACAAAGAAGAATCGGAAGACATCACCGCAAATGATGAAGCCATCCTCGTTGAGCTCCTCCTCTTCTCCTATGTTCTCTAACTCGTGCCCCTAGGGTAGAGTGCTGGTAAAAGGTGTTATGTTAAAAGCTAGCTTCCTATTTATACTAGTTACAGAATGAGTATTTCTAGTATATTCCCTCCTAACGTCGGCCATATGCTTCCTTATTGGACTTGAACTTGGTTTCCTTCAGCTTGTGGATGAAGTAGCTTCTTCAGGAAGTCTTCTAGAGAATTAGGGTTTGAGCATAAGGGGTGTGGCGGTTGGGGTCGACGCTCTTTTTTCAATTGGGCTTGGTTGCTTGTACCACAAGCAACATCTCCTTCAAATTTGGGTGTTTTTTGACTTGGATAGCTCCAGTTGGACCTCGATCAAAGTTGAGCATGGTGCACTACCATATCTGCATGTTTTGGCAGTAAAGTGAGCATCTGATGTTAAAATCCATCTCTATTTAAGCTCATGAGCTTGTATTCTCGTTCTCCTCCTAATCGATTGGGTCCCTTGGTGATCCGTATTCTTCTTCAGTGCATTTATCCCTAAAAAGCACAAAACAACCCGCTAAAGGCATTAAATAGTAAAAACACATTCAGGGTCTATCATAAGCTCCTCAAATAGTTATAAAATTCATATGAAATATCATCAAACAACTAAAAATGCATTGACAGAAGGGGAAAATAAATCAAATATGGGAGTGATAAACACATATTGACAGAGTGACATCAAGATGTTGGACATTCAAATATGGGACTCTCTTAGGCCTCTCTTGGTTGTCCATCGATAACTTCCCATCAATGATCTAGTGACCTTATACTTTGGTCCGAGTTTTATGATGATGTGACACAATTGAAGTCTGACGCCTCCCTTGCCAGTAGCGTCACTAACCACTTCATGCGAAACACTTTAGTTAACTTTCTACCATCAATGACTTGAGGGGGAGGGCCACAAAGTCATGTCGATTTTCCACTCTATCAGGAACAGCGGCGGGTCCAGAACATAGTAGAGCACTGGGCCGCATTTCATAAAAAAATTAGATATCGTAAAAGAAAAATAAACCTAATTTTTGTATAATGTCAATTGTACACGACGGTATTTTAATATAGCGATTTCATCAATAATGGAGTCTACATCCATACCAATAGTATACTCTTATTCAAATAAAATAGTTAAGCAATCACCGAGAAATTCATCGCTCATCTTGTTGCGGAAATTAGTTTTCACATGTTTATTGTTGAAAAAGTTCTCTCTGTAGTAGCCGCTGTAACGAGCAACGTAAATACTAGAAAATCAATTGATTAATCAATTTTTATTGTGTCCAATCATATTTTCACCTGTTGCTCTAATAATTTTTAAAAGGAACAAATCTCATATTTCTGTTTGTCTTTTACATTTTAGACTTTAAGAATTTCAAGTTTATTGTTTTTCATTAGAAGAAAATCATTGAGTCTAGAATTTAATTTCTAAGTTAAATTTAGAGTTTTGGTTTGAATATGTTCATCTGGACCATTTTTCCAAATTACACACAATCTTATTATAAAATAACGCTAAACCGAATATTCAAAATCAAAAAATTTATATAGAGTATACTAGTTTCGAATCCAGAGGAGGGCTGGGCCGTGGCCCCGGGTGACCACCCCTGGATCCGCAACTGATCAGGAATTGCTTTTGGGTTCACCCTGGATGGTTACTAATGGAACTCTTCGATAAGGAACTAACACACTTTTACACATTGTTCTTAACGCATTTAGGAAAAAACCACTATTCACATTTAAAACTTACAAATTAATTAAATATAAAATTCATCTTACAAAAAGAATGTCACTTTACAACTTTACCAATTTAAACCGGGCTTAAAAACGACCTTCAGAAAATTCCTGGTCTGACCCCTAAAGATGGAGAAGAAGGGAGGAGGTGAAAAAAAAGGAAGAAAGATGATAGGTGAATCATGCAGGTTAGCTAAGTTTTATTTTGTGGAAAATAAGTTTTTAATAAATAAATATAAAATAAATTTCATTTTAGTCGTTAATTTTTGACTACTGCCTTATTTGTATATATATTTAGAAAATGTATAAAACGGCTCTAACCGATCGGATCCCGATCATACCAATAAGCATCAAACCTCTTATTTGACTGGCTCAATAACTTAATCCGGTTTGACAACAAACATAAAGACCTAAAAGCTATTCGGCAATCGGCATATACAATACAAATAAGGGTAATGTATTTTTTTTATCTAAACCTTTTTCATATTTTTTTATATTATTAAAATATATTAAAATGCTACTAATTAGCCAAATCTTTCGCAATGCATCAAAATATTAGTAATTTTTATGTTATCATTAATAATTTTGTAATTTTTTCTTAGTTAAAATATTAAAGTTTTGAAATGTTGACCTTCATGTGTCTCTTCCAAATCAGTATCATGTTGCCATATCAATATTACAAATAAAATTGCTAACTAAAAGTTAACATTTGACTAATTTTTAATATTTCGATAGATATGACTAATAAAAAAGAATTCAAAAAATATTTGGCTAATAAATAATCATTACCCTATAAATAACAAATACACGGTCTATTTTTCCAAATAAATTGATAAAATAAAAGTAAATAAAAACTAGGCGTGAAATTTCCTTAACCGTCCAATTGCCACCACACTCCACAGACTGATCTGTCCCGTTTCGTTTCCCCATTTTCAGCGTCTCACTTGCAAAGCCTCAGTTTCTCTCTTCTTATTGCCCACTCTCCAGTCCACATCCACAAACTACAGCACTTCCCTCCTTACTGTTAGCCGGTAAGTTTCCCTTCTCCTTCTCTACTCTTCCCATCCCATTTCCGGCCGCCGGGAGTTCTTGTTTTCCCTCAAATTTCTGTAGATTCTGACAAATAACTGCCTCCCCACGCAGGAAGTGTGACGCTTCCCAAATGCAGGAGTAGGATTCGTGCCGGTACTGGTTCGTGGTTATCAGCCGGTATTAGGAATTGGGTTTCTGTTAACGTCATCAATTTTACTTCATTGTCTTCTGTTGATTTGTGGGGCGTCTTTGCTATTCGATCCAATCACAATGGCGTCTTCGATTGTGAATGGAGCTGAAAACTTCGCTCTCCTTAGAGGGTTTCGCATATCTCCACGAGGGTTAGGCATAGTGGGTTCAGATTTGCAGGGGAAGAGCTTCCCCAAATTGAATCTAGTCTCTGTCAATAGGATGTCTAGGTGTGCAACAATGGCGCCTAAGTGCAGCCTATCTGCCTCCAGACCTGCTTCCCAGCCCAGGTTTATACAGCACAAGCAGGAGGCATTCTGGTTTTACAGATTCCTGTCTATTGTCTATGACCATGTGATAAACCCTGGCCACTGGACCGAGGACATGAGGGATGATGCCCTCGAGCCTGCTGACCTCAGTGACCGGAGAATGATTGTGGTGGATGTCGGTGGTGGTACTGGTTTCACCACTCTAGGGATTGCGAAGCACGTTGATGCAAAAAATATCACCATTCTGGATCAGTCTCCACATCAGCTGGCAAAGGCCAAGCAGAAGGAGCCTCTAAAGGAATGTAAGTTTGTTCTAGGTGACGCTGAAGACCTACCCTTTAAGACTGATTATGCGGATAGATATGTTTCTGCTGGGAGGTAATGTATTTCTTTTAGCGAACTCTATTCACTATTGTGATGCTTGTGAACTTCGACATTTAGGGCTGCTTTAACGATCATAATCCAATAATTAGTTACTGCTTTAAGAGTTTATCTGTTTAGCGAATCACTTTGACAGACTACATAGAGTAATGTGGAATTTGGTGAGCGCTTCTAAAATAACCTTTTACCAATATGGTTAGATAGAAACTTCGGTGGACATCCTACAAAGGATCCAACTTCGGTTTTATGCCACCATTGGACAAAGAGTTAAATTCTCTAATTGTGCCTCTAACTGGTAACTATCTTTTGTCAGTATTGAGTACTGGCCTGACCCACAGCGTGGAATCAGAGAGGCATATAGGGTCTTGAAGCTGGGGGGAAAAGCATGTCTAATTGGTCCAGTTTATCCTACATTTTGGTTGTCTCGCTTCTTTGCGGATGTCTGGATGCTCTTCCCAACGGAGGAAGAGTACATAGAGTGGTTTACGAAGGCTGGCTTTAAAGATGTTCAGCTGAAGAGGATTGGCCCAAAGTGGTATCGCGGTGTTCGTCGGCATGGACTTATCATGGGATGTTCTGTCACAGGTGTTAAACCTGCATCTGGAGATTCTCCTTTGCAGGTAACTATTCGTCAACTTTTGTTTTCCCTTCTCTAACCGCATCAAGTCGTGGCTCCATTGGTAAAAGGATTTGTGCAAAGCTAGCGTTTGCTTTGTATGGTTGTTCTGTTGATTCAGAGGTAGGCAAGAGCAAGGTGTTCTCCAGAGAGGCCATGGTCCTGGATTTCGTTATAGTTTACTATTGTGATACTTAAAAGTTTGTAGTGGGTAAAGGGTCATCATTTTAGGATGTTTAAAATTTCAGACTTAAAAATCTGTTGGTCTGGAACTTTAGGTGATTTAAACCTGTGATTACAAAAAATATCATACAAATATGTAAATCTTGAACACTTTTTTTTTTTTAAGTAAAATCTTGAATACACTGAGCATACCATCCTATTATTTATTTCTCCAGGTGGAAGCTTATCAGATTAATAGACATTGTTCCTTTGCAGATAGTCTTTTTTATGCATAAGTCAGCTGATGGTGGACCTTTATCTACAGTCTACACTTCATAATTCCTTTTTATGAGTACTTCTTTCAATCGCGAGATTGAGGAAAATTTCGTGCTTTCATGATCCTTAAGTCTTATATAATGCATTGCACTTCTGTTGTTTCTGCTTGCTAACATTTCTAGAGTTGTTTTATTGAACAGTTTCCGCATATGAAAATAGCTTCTGACTGAGTTTGGTTTGAATTATCAATTATGCCAGCTTGGTCCGAAGGCTGAGGATGTGTCAAAGCCAGTAAAACCGTTTGTGTTCTTGATGCGCTTCCTTTTGGGTGCCATGGCTGCAACATATTATGTATTGGTGCCAATCTACATGTGGATCAAAGATCTGATTGTGCCCAAAGGTATGCCCATCTAAGGAGAAGAAGAGTCTTTTGAGTTGTATCTTCGTATGTGCTCTTCTTTCCACACTTGTGAACCTTTCTTTGAGATGTTGTGCGGTTTCGGAAGCTGTCAAAGTAGTTGCCACTTCTGGGATCACATGAATGATGTAGCCTATCTTTCTCAGAACGAAAGTCACACTAGCTATTTAATGTAAAGCAGGCTAATAAGTTCTTTCATGTCTCTTCATTGTTGAATATCATATGGTGAATTCATCAACGATATACCAAGCTAGGCATTATAACACTGTCTAACAGATGCATTGATCTATCAGAGTTGGAAGGAATTTTTTTTTTAGACCTTTTATGAACAGCACAAAGGTAGATCTGATTTCTAGAGAAGACTAACTATTGAGTTGTCAAAGTGTGTTCTCAGCCCAAATGGAAGTACAAGTAGGGCTGGAAGTTTGGTACCGGTATTTGGGATATACCGAATACCGTACCGAATTTATCACTATTTGGTATTACCGAATACCGATTTATTTTTTAGGGATTAGGATTGGGATTCGTTTTAGAGTGCTATTCGGTATTCGGGATTACGAGATTGAGATCGGTATATACCCGATACTGAAAATACCGAAAATTAAAAATTAATTAAATATAGCACACAACGCTTAGTCATTCCTCACTCTTTCACAACTTAGAAGCCCTCATCCAACTCAATTTTGATTTTCAAATTTAAGTCACTCTCGTCTCTCACCTAATCTCCTTTTATTTTCATAACACCAAAAAGCAAATACTAGTATTAGTCGTATCTCAGCCTCCAATTCATCAAATTAAAGATTACCAATGACAAGAATTTAAATGTCAGCTCTTCTCCATTCTCCTTATCCATATCCTAGCTCTAAGTAAACTCAAGACTCCTTGCTTAGTCTCTTTGTCCTAAATTAAATAATTTAATCCAATTTATATATATTTAATTACTAATTACAAAGATAATTAATTTCGTATTTGATAATACCGATTGTGATACCGAAATATTTAACGATTGGAATTGACTTTAGAGTGTAATTCGATATTCGGGATAACGGTATTTGGTATTGAAATACCAATACCATACCGATTTCCACTACTAAGTACAAGCATTCATTACAAACCGGCAGTAAGCTTACCTTAATTATCACAGAAAGAAAGGATTACTTAATAGAACAAACCTCCATGGTCTCGTAAGGCGAAAAATAGTAAGGCGGAAACAGCTCGCCCCTTTTTCCATTCCCATAAAATGGCGGGCGGAGGCGGATGGGCTTTCCTTAGGTAACCGGTTCGTAGAGTGGGAGCAAGAGCGTCTAGTTATCAAGAATCTAATATTGAGAGCGTGAAGAAAATGTGGATTTTATATAAATTTTAATTATTTTTTCATATGATATTTTATATGAAATAATATTAACATAAAGTTGAACTCTTAAATTTTGAGATGCTGGTTAATTATTAAGTTTGATAAAATATCATGGACTTAGGAATTAGGAATTTAGGATGATTGGGTTTGGCACTCTGGCTTAGCTAATAGTATGAGATGAGTGAACAGTGGACTTCTTTTGGGCCGAAAACAATTAGGCCCAACAATATTATCAAGGCTAAGATAAAATCATTAATCTGGATAAGATATACTAGCTTTTGGCCCGCACGTTCTGCGGGTGAGTTCCATTTTTTCAATAACATTAATCAAATTTCAATTTAGTATTTTAAGTATTTTAGTGTGTTATTCTATAATTTTTGTAATAGCAGTATTGAAAATGGTATATGGGTATTTGTGTTTTCCAATATTCGTGTAATAGCAATATTGAAAATTGTATAAAGGTATGAGTGGTTTCCAATATTTGTTAGATTTCTTGTGTAATTTGTGATTATAAACTAATCTTTTTATGAGTGGTCATGAAAATAATCTCAATTTTTCCTAATTTTTTGTTGTATTGGATAAGTTGTATTTGGAAGCTTATATTACAATATTTTGCATAGTTATATCATTATATTTTTTTCACATGATGATATTTGACGTAGCTTTGAAAATGATAATAAATAGTTTTTTGTTTAAGAGTAAAAGTCAATGATTGTGAGACTATACCATATTTATACCGAAAAAGTCAATGACCGTCTATTTTGTGTTAAAATTTTGGTTTAAATGTATTTCAATCACTTCTAAAATCACCTATCGATTTGGATTGGTATCCAATATTTCTATTCCGATCAATTGATACGATAGGGTTTATTATTCTTAAGCATTGGTAAAATAGAGGGAAAATAGCTTTTTGGTTAAAAAATAAAAAATTCCTAATTCTATCCAAAACCCCGATTACAGCATAAGAGAGATTAAAATATTTTAAAGAGAATTAAATATCAAACTATAAAACAAAATTAAATAACCCAAGAAAAACTACAGGGAAGAAAATCCCGCAAAAAATGGTAAGCACCCGGCATAAAAGATATAAATTAAACAAAAAACAGGAAATATCGAAAGTTACGGTCGTAGCGTAGCTCAAAGGCTGACGTGGAGTGGGCGTTTTCTGAAACCCCTTTAATATTTTTAAAGAGAAGAGATAAAGATGCATCCCTATCCTTTCCCGACCTCTGCTTTCCTTTTGTGCTCCTTGCTTCTCCACCGTCCGGCCTCCACTCAAGCGCCTGTACCTGCTCTCTCTTTATATTTTTCTGTTATTTGTTCATCTGGAATGAATTGGCTTCTTTTTCTACCACCATATTCTTCTGGATCCGACAATAAAATCTAGAATTATTTTCCTAGAGTGAATCCAATTGACAGTAGCTTCCTCTTGCATTCTCTTCCGCAAGCGAAGCTACCTTATGACTTGTGGCATCGATTACGACGAAGCCAGGAGTCTCCAGGGAAGAAAAGGATGATACAAAGGCTGAGGGTGTGTGTGATATCTTCCACGCTATAATACCTGCAACATAAATCGCGCTTCCTAAAAGGAAATTCGCGCTCCGAGAATTTTCAGTTCGCGAATTTTCCGCGACTCGTCAAAAATCCGCGGTTTTACGCTCCATAGCGGGAACGTCGGGACTATACGGACGAATTAGGTGATCTAAGGCCTTCCTCCCTCCTTCCCTTCCCCCTGTTAATTTAATTGGTGGGTTTCTCTGCCAGATGTTACCTTGCACGTCATCGCATCCAATCATCCCTCACAAACGACTACATCGTCCATCTATTGACCTGCTACAAAATGCCTGTCTCGGCTGCTCCTCCGCCATGAGAAATCTCAGCCGCAAAGCGATCCTCTCATCTTTCAACACCGTCCACCGCCGCAGCCTCGCCGTTTCACCAGGCCATCCCCAAATGGCAGCCACGACGACAACGATTGAAGCAAAACGGGGAGGGTCAATTGACGACAAGGAGGAACAAGAGAAGAGGAAGGAGAAGGCGATTCCTCCTCCGCCGCCGCCGGAGAAGCCTGAGCCGGGAGATTGTTGCGGCAGTGGGTGCGTGAGATGCGTGTGGGACGTTTATTACGAAGAGCTGGAGGATTACAACAAAACGTACCTGACCAGCGGATTTGCATCCAGTTCGCAAGCTTCTTGACGGCGAGCGGCTATCGACCTTGCTTTTAGCCATGAGATTGTTTCTTTCGATTTTCATCCCTACTTTCTATTATTTCAATTTGTGGGCGGAGAAATTTCTCCGATTTGTGATTATCACTCATCCAAAACATGGCTCCTTGTGCCTTGACATGGCTTCTTTGAGAGGTAAGTATAAGGATTCAGTTGCAAGATTCAGTCTTTTGCACAAGTCTGGTTTATTTTGACCGAATTACTACTCGGGAACAAAATAAATTCTTTGGGTGGATCGGCTTCTGCAGATTGTGTTACTGTTATGTGTGTTGCTGGTATAGAATCAAATTCTCTTCTTTGAATCAGTTTTCCAACCAGGTCAACACTGAGACCTTCCGCTTCATTGATCTTTGATGGCCTCACAGTGGATTGGCATTCTGCAGTTGATTTCATCAGGTGCAAGGCTGCCCTATTGATCATTTTGTCTGGTTTGTGAGTGTAACTACAACATGGAAAGAAAGATGTCATCTAGTTTCCGGAGCTAGCAACAGCAGTGATCTTGTTTTGGTTGGTGTGAAGTTTGCAAAAGATTGAAAAGAAAGAAACACAGAAAGATTTAACATTCAGAAGGGCTTACTTCTCAAGAAGATAATGTAGTAATGTTGATCTGTTCCTAAAAGCTTGTGTCGGCCAACACGAACACCTTGCTAGGAACTATCAATACCCAGAGCTAAAATTGCAATTTCCCCTGTTCAAGCAAAACTAGAAAAAATTGTTCACCACCAACAGCCACTTCAATCAAGTCTAAAGCTCAACACCTCAAGAAAGATCTCCTGAAAAAGATTTTAACTGCCTTCTCAATGGCGAAAGTTCATTATTACACTCCGCTAATATGACCGGCCTTCCAAGAAACTACCGCCGATTGCTCAATTCTACAACAGCTTAATTTGGTCTTTTACCTCCTGTGATAACAGGGACGTTAATCTGCCAGCCAATGAAACCAAGGGGGCTCAAAGTAACAGAAACCCCGAACCAACGACAGGCTACCATGTTTCCGGCTTCCATCCACTACTTGTTCATTACAACAGTGCAGGCCTTGCTGAGTACTCCTGTGATCAGCAACCAAATCCAGAATGAGGCAGCTGTTTCTTACTTATCGGGACTGGGATCCCCATAAGAAACCAAACCTTGCTGCCCTCCTGACAGTGAGCTTGATCTCGACATGCTACTACCACGTTGTTTAGGTGGTGCACGGTCTGGAGATTTCGAAAGAGAAGCTGATGACCTGCTCCTTGACCTGGAGCTAGCAGTAGACCTGGATGTTGACCTCAATCTTGCTTTCTTACCTGAATTGCCATCATCAATTCGAGGGCCAAGACGTGTTCTCAAACCCTCACTAACAGGAGGTCGCTTGCCTTTGGACTGGGACTTTGTATAGGAGGGCTCTGGCTCCTGCTGCGAGCTCTGTTCCTTCTTCCATTATAGTTTCCTGGGTTGCTCCGAGATCTGCTCCTACTTCTACTTCTCCGACGTCCATATCTGCAGTGTATGGTTGGGTTTTAGAAATGGTTGAGTTGATTTATGATATAAAATTATTTTCTGAAATAAAAAGCAATTGGCGAGTGATGCATGGTAGATTGTTCATTAACAGGACATTCAGCAATGACTATGACAAGTACAAATATATTTTAATTTCAAAGGGAGTAGCCAAATGAAATTTATTAGTGAGACAACGTTTAGATCTAAATGATTTGTGGAATTTAGGGTAAATAATTGTTTTAAGAAGTTCTACTGAACAAGTATGTTCATTTTAGCTTGCTTTCAAGCCAAACTCTTTTTAAGTTGATCATTTTCTAGCCAAGACAAACATACCTTAAGTATCTACATGCAATCCTATTTCATTCATGATTTAGGAGCATAGCCTAGATAGAGAGTGTAACCAGAAACAGAACCTAGGGGGGCTCCTGCCTCTTGCTGGGCTTCTGTAACGTCTATATGGTGAACGTGTTGAATAATTTGGATAGCTTGAGTACCTGAACAGCAAATAGGAAAAGCATAAGATAAAGGCAAGCCTAATTTCAAGCCCCAAACATGTTTTGTAATGAAGTTAAAATGCACCAGATTATGATATGATCTACCTGTCGTTGTTCCTTTCATTGACATTTCTTCCCCCATAATAGAAAGACCTCCGTGGGCCCTCGGGAGAAGGGGTGCGGTATCGACGAGCAAAGAAATACTGTTCGGTGAAGCCACGTCCTTTCTTAATGCATTTGGGAAACACCATCAGGAGATCGGCTTCGTGACTCAACAGCTCATCCTCGGTTAGAGATAAGAGGTTCATGGGCCCTACGAGCAGGACTGCCCACTGGACTTCTTGAAATCCTCCGCTCTCTTTCAACAGACCTTCTACCAGGACTCCTATCTTCACTTCTCAATTTTGGACTCCGAGAAGCTTTTTGGGGACTTTGGCTCGGGATGCGCCTCTGGCTGATGTTTGGTCTCCTAGGGTTTGGCGTGACACTCTTGTGTAAATCATGTGAAGAGGGGAACTTACATGAGCTCTAAAATCATAAGGCAGAAACATGAGCCTATACAACAAAAAATTAAATGATGATTACATACTTGGATCTATCTGAGTCGTGAGAATAAGAGTGAATAATAGCATTTCCATCTGCTTTAGAATCTATATCATACCCATTATTTGGAAGCTTATTCCGCTTCGGAGACAATTCCCCTTCTTCAAGGGGAGAATCCACTTCAATTGACGACTTCTTTTTGGCATTCCCTTTATATTCTGTAGCTTTCTCTGATTGTTGACCACGACACTTTTTCACTTCATCTGTGTACCATAATAACCCATGAGACAAATATAAAAGGTGAACAAATTAGATGAAAAGTGCATGCAAGTATTGCCATGTCCATGTGATGACAAGTCACATATGAATGGCATATGATGATTGCATAGAAGAAAGCATACCAATATTCAACATTGACTTTTCAACTATAGTAGAATTGTTGCCTTTACGAGAGAGAACACGATCAGCTTGATTGTCTTCAGAACTGCTGCTTCTGCTACTTTCAGTTTCAGAATCACTTCCGCTATCCGAACTCCTGAAAATATAACGATCAAAATAGACAAGAAAAGATAAAGACCTAGCATGGTTTCTGGCAAAGGAACAGAAACTGCACTGGACTTAACACCAAAGTCTTGTGCCAAGTGAAGGCTCGTTTCATTCACACTACTGGCTTTGTCATCATTGCATACATTTCTAATAGAAGCAACAACTTTAGGTCCAACTGCATCCTTAAAAATTCCCCATACATCTCACCATCATTACCAATCTGTCGGGTTTGGTCCCAAGAACTGCTGTCCGGTAGAAAAAGCGGGTCGGTCCATTCTCTACAGATGCAACAATAGGTGATTTTACCAGAGATTGGCACAAGAGCAGAACCCATCCTGAAAACAATGAAATCTACTCGCATCCCTGACTACCAGTTCGCGTTGATATAATCTTGACACTAATTTACAGAAAGCATGACAATCTTCACAAATTCTAAGATTCTTTGTAATCCTAATTGGGGTAGCGTCAGAAGTGCTCAACAAACCATAGGCAATAGCCAGTCGTTCACTGTGGCCATGGAGTATCTCAACTTTCTCTTCCTCCCTTACATTATGCAAGACTAACTTTGTCTGGGCAACATATCCCCCTTCATTCTCCAACTTCTCAGTAATCTGAGCTAATTTCTCATAGATCTTATGTGACTCTGGATGAGCCTTGTCTCTAGCAATAAATGTATGAATCTTATTTCCTACCTCCATCCAACTACATCCAGGGGTTTTCTTCAACCCATCTGCTTTCATTCTCATTCTCACTACTCGAACATCATTCCATCGGCTCTCTGCGGCAAACAAATTGGACACTAGCACATGATTCCCTGGATTTTTTGGGTTCAACTCCAACAGCTTCTTGGCCACTTTTTCTCCAAGTTCTTCATTGGAGTGAACTCGGCAAGCACCTAGGAGGGCACACCAAACTTCAGCAGCAGGTTCAACGGCCATGTTCTTCACAAATTGGTATGCCTCTTCCAAGCGGTTCACACGACCCAGAAGATCCACTAAACAGACATAATGTTCTTGCCAGGGCTCTAGCTGATACTTGCATTTCATAATTTCAAGAAAGGTTTTGCCTTCCTCAACCAGTCCTGAATGACTACATGCATAAAGAAGCGCTAAGAAGGTTATATGATCTGGAATCAGGTTTATATCCTCAATTCTGCCGAATAGTTCAACTGCCTTTTTGCCATGCCCATGTATCCCATATGCAGTAATCATAGTTGTCCATGTAACCAGATTTTTATTTCTGATACAGCTAAATGCCTTGTAAGCATTCTCCAGACTCCCACACCGAGCATACATATCCACAAGAGAGTTTCCCAATGATCCTTCTAACAGAAAGCCTTTCCTTGTTATGAAACCATGAACTTCTTTCCCTTTATGCAAAGATGATAAGCTAGTAATTGCAGAGAGTATGCTGACGAGAGTAATATAATCTGGTTGAACTGCAGTATCTTTCATTGACTGAAAAACTTCAAGAGCTTCAACTGCATATCCATTATTGATGCATGATGATATCATGCTTGTCCAAGATATAGCATCCTTATCTTCAATCAACTCAAACATTCGAGCAGCATGATCAACTTGCCCACATTCTCCATACACATCAACCAAAGTGTTTTGCAGCACACGGTCAGTTAGAATGTGCCTTATCATGTAACCATGAACTTCTTTTACTTTGAAAAAGTGTTTCAATCCTCTGCAAGCCAGCAAAATGCTGCCAATCATCATTGAATCTGCACGCATTCCTTCCATCTGTGATTTCCTGGACAATTCTAAGGCCTCTAGATAACAATTGTTCTGAACATAGCCTGCCACAACTGTCGTCCATGAAATGGAATCTTTTTCAGGTGTCATCTTAAAAGCATGGTACATGTAACTTACACGAGAACACTTGCTATACATATCAATAATTGTGTTCGCAACATGCAGATTAGAAGCAAACCCCTTCTTTATTGCATAAGCATGACTTTCCTTGCCATTTAACAGACAACCTAATCTCCCACAAGCTGTGATGATGCTTGTTAGTGAGACCACATCAGGTGTTAGACCAGAATCCTGAAAATCGTGGAAGCATTGTAAAGCTTCAGCGAAAAGACCATTCTGGATAAAACCAGCCAGCATGGAATTCCAGGTGATATTGTCCTTAGCTTCCAATAAATCGAAAATTCTGGCAGCCTCGACCATTAGCCCATGTCTCACATACATAGCTATCAGTGCATTTGCAACATACACATCAAAAAATTGATGTGATCTGAAAGTAGCAGCATGGATTTCCCTACCCAGTATGCTAGAAGAACCTTGACAAGCTTGAAGGGCAGCAACAAATGTGTAAGTGCTAGGAGAAACACCAACCATCCTCATTTTCTTAAAAATTTCTAATGCCTCCCAGTACTGAAGCTTTTCAGAATATGCAGATATCATAGAGTTCCACAACACATCATCGTCTCCGCCATTCATCCTCTCAAACAATTTCCGTGCGCTATCCAAATCCTTGCACTTGGCATACATAGCAACCATAGCATTAGCAACAAAGGCCACCGAAGCACACCCACATTTAATCGCGAGTCCGTGCATTTCAGCCCCATAATAAAGATCACCAAGTGCTCCACAAGCTTTCATAGCGCACGGAAAAGTACGAGAATCAAGAGGGGAACCCGAAACCCTGATTCGTCTGTACAACTCGAGGGCTTCTAAATTTTTCCCGTTTGAAACGTAAGCCCCCATCATAGCATTCCAGGTGAAGATAGTTCTGTCGGGCATTTTGTCAAACACCTTCTGTGAATCGCAGACATACCCACACTTTCCGTACATAAACACAAGCTTGGTGCTCAAGAAAACAGAGTCCGGGGTTGCCACACCAAATTTCAGGACATGAGCATGAACCTGTCGACCAAGTGATGAAGCCCTACTTTTCGCACAGAGCTCAAGTAATGGGGCGTAGGCCTCATCTGGGTTATCTAGAAGCGAGGTACGATCCTCAGTCAACAATGCAGTAAAGGTAGATACAGCTTCTCTGAGGTTACCTAGCTTGCATGCCTCCCGAAGAGAAAAGACAGTTTCCCCATGGAACGGGGGAACCTTTGGGAAGGTTGAAGGGGTTCTCAGCATGGCGTTTTGCGGTGCTATGAGCGGAGAGGCCTGGAGGCTACACCAAGTGAATGTTGTAGCCATTGCGGAAGATTCATACAATCCAAGAACACCAAAATTCCCAACCTCAAGGAACCAAAATGGGGATACAGGGATAGAATGAAATGGAGACAAAAGTAAAGCAGGTAAGTCTCAACCTTGGGAGGTTTACCGCTGCAAGTATCCGTAGTATTTTCATGGAAGGTTCATCAAACAGCGAAATTATTTTGATTTCCAGAGGAAAGAGTAGTGGGAAGGGAGGAAGACTGTAGAGGAAAGGAAATACCTCAAACCCTCTATGTAACTTCAATCAACTAACTTCGTCGGGTTTGGAACTTTCTAACAGTGAAGGGACAGAGCGTGGGCGACGACGCAGAGGGAGGACAATCTCTTTCTCTTTGGATTGGAATTGTGTGCATTCGGTGGCGGCAGACCAGTTCTACGGAGATGGACGGCCAGCCGCAACAAGGCGAACCGAAGAGTTGTAAGGAGATTCAATTTGTGACGGAGAAGTTCGCCGGCATTGTTTTTGACAGTAAGGACTAAGGAGAGGGCGAGGAAGAGCGACGAGATTGGTTCTCGATTTTCTTTTTCTCGTTCCTGAAAAAGAAAACAAATTAAGTAAAATGTTAAAGATTTGATATGAGATTACAAAATCATCTCATGTTTAGTCACTAGAAAAAATTAATATCAATTTTTGTCACTTGAATTACTGAAACATGTCACATTTAGTCATTCTTCTTTTGAACTCGTGTGTACATGGGCGTTTGAGCCGTGCTTGGGCCGGCACGGCACGGGCACGCTTCGGGCCCATTTATTTCTTGCCGTGCTTGGCACGGCCAGTCAGTTTTCATGTAGTGCCATGCAAGCCCATTTGTTAACTTTTCTAGGCCGGCCCGGGCACGGTTCGAATCGTGTCGTGCCTATTCGTGCTCGTGTCATACTCGTATTCGTGTTTAATGAAAAGGACGAAAACAAAAGAGAGAATGAAAAGGAAAGTGAAAATTGGACGGGGGAAGATAGTATTAACCCATAATGTTTGCGAAAAATAACAAATAAGGGGGGGAAGAAAATTGGAAGTATAACTAGTGTGATTTGGCTTTGTTTAATTCTTTATCCATTTTTACTTATGTTAGTAATTACGTATATATCTTTATGACACTTCTAACAACAACAAATAATTATTTTTCTACTTGTGTTTTGTAATATTTGAACCTATAATTCTTTTTATATTTATTTTCTATCAAATAAATATTATTTTCGTGCCATGTCCGTTCTTATAATCAATAAAGTCTCAAAAATATTAGGCCCGACACGACCCACTTATATACCGTGTCGTGCCCCGTGCTCGTGCCCGTACCCATGCCCATGAAGTTTAGGCCCGACACGACCCATAAATTATTCGTGCTCGTGCCGGGCCGGCCCATTTATTTCGTGCCCGTGCTCGTGTCGTGCTCTAACCGTGTCGTGCCGTGATAGCCTGTGGGTGGCACGCCCACGTACAAGCTCGTGTGTGGATTCAATCCTCGTACTCGGCTAAATTACACGTTTGGTCACTCAAATTACATAAATCTTTCACGTTTGTCACTCAAATCACCTTTCTTTCTTATTCGCCACTAACTTTATAAATCGTTTCACCGTAGCCACCGGCCGTTAGTATCAGTTAACTCCATTAACTCCGTCAGTTTTTTGATGACGTGGCAAACAAAATTGTTGACTGGACCATTAATTTAATGACATTGTCAATTTAAAGAAATAAAAAAAAAATATTTAATTACCATATAATCGAGTGGCTGCAACACCATGAACGTCCCCTCTCCCTTAAAAAAAACTTCCCCTCTTCTCTGCCTCCCTTACGGTCTCTGAACCCGGCGGAGGAGGATGAGCTTTCGTTGCCTTCGCCGGAAACAGAGCCGTTTAGGTAGGCCGTTGATGACGATCGCCCTCCTCCGCCGCTGTTACCGCCCTTCTGTCCTTAGAATCTGAGGAATTCCTATCGTCGCTCAAGCTCGTCGTGGTAGAGCCGAGGAACCCAGACGAGGGGTGAAAGCTGCCGGCGACTCGTCGTGGTAGAGCTGAGGAACCCAGACTAGGGGTGAAATCTGCGGCGGGAGAAATCGAACCACCGTCGGCGGATTTCATTTCGCAATCGTGAATAACAGGGGAGTCCCGAGATGGAGGAAGGATCCCAGCTTCCGATGGACTAAAGAGAGAGCGGGAGAAGGACCAAAGAAAAAATAAATTGATGGATATTGATTTGTCGACGAATTGTTTGCTGATATGCTTGTGAGAAACCCGAATTGATTTTTAGTGCTATAAAGCATTGGGTGCAATTGGGGATAAAGTTGGGGAATGAAGAATTACACCATAATTGGCTTCAACCCAGAACCCACTGTGCTATTTAAGATAAGTTAGGAGATGTCACTCCACTGTCGTTCTATTAAATGGCCAGGCGGCTGGACTTGGCTACCGCTGCCTGCAGTCGTGAGTATATGCGAGCGGTTAATCATCTTAGTAATCTCAGGCAAGGAAAATGGAGGCGGTCATGGGTTCGCAAGATTTCGGCGGTCGTCGTGGGGAAGAAATGGAACGTCGAAAGCCACCGATCAGGAGGAGGCAGCGGGCGATTCAGCGGTTTGCAATATTTGGCAGAGGAAGTTCACATTGGTGCTTGGCACTCCGATGGCCGTGTTAATATTTTATTTTTTAAAATTGATATGTCATTAAATTAATGGTCCAGTCAGCAATTTTGTTTGTCACATCATAAAAAAACTAACGGAGTTAACGGAGTCTAACGGATACTAATGGTCGGTGGTTATGGTGAAACGATCTATAAAGTTAGTGACGAATAAGAAAAAAAATTGATTCGGGTGGCGAACGTGAAAGATTTATATAATTTGAGTGAATAAACGTGTAATTTAGCCCCTCTTACTCCATTTGATTTGATACCTTTACCTTTGAAGGAGCAAGTAAGCACGGATGGAGCTAAGAAAGCAGAGTATGTGAAAAATCTCCATGAGAAGGCTCGGTTGAATATTGAAAGGAGGACAAAGCAAATTGAGAAAAGTGTCAACAAGCATAGAAAGACTCGAAATTTGAAGCAGGAGACTGGGTGTGGGTGAACATAAGAAAAGAGAGGTTTCCTCATCGAAGGAGATCCAAGTTGTTACCACGAAATGAAGGTCCCTTTCAAGTGATTTCGAAGGTTGGGCCTAATGCCTACAAGCTAGACCTGTGAGAGGAGTATGGAATAAATGCAACCTTCAACATTTTTTTATCTTACACCATTTATGGAGTATGGCCTGGATTTGAGGGCAAATCCTTTTCAAAAGAGAGGGAATGATGAGGTCATCAAGACCAAGCCTGCTCAAGATGAAAGCCTAGTGACTCATGCTAAGGCTAAGGCTAAGGGATCAAGTTGCAAGCTTTTAGGGTTCTCAATTAAAAGTCATGGCCGAGGGAATTCTAGAGGAGAAGAAGCTCATCACATTGCTACGATTTATGGAGAAGAAGCTTTGTAGTAAAACCGAAAATTCGGGTATCGTCTCTCGGGGACTGGTACAACCTTATAATTTATCAACTCTGTGAAGCAAACTATAGGTGAAAAATGGTTTGGTTGATGAGATTATTAACTAATAGCAAAATACTTAAACTAATAAAGCAAAGTAAACTTGTCGGGAGAAATTCAATGAGAGAAAGCTCTGGGAGAAACACCTGAATTCACTATCTATCATATCCAAATTAATTCACATATTCCAATCAGTTTAATCCAATTCTCTACAGCCAGGATATCACTAATGTGCTAGCTATCCCTGTCGGGAATTACTACGTACTAAACAATTAAATCAAATCCTACTGTCGTAGTTCAATGAACTAATTATTTGGCCTGAAGATCGATATCCTATTTAAGACCGCATAACACCTTATTTAATCCACTGTCGCTTCGATAAGTTACTATGTCACATGAAATAAGTTCAGTTAATAGGTTTCATTGTCGCTAATAACCTAATTAACTACAAATCAATGTATTGGTGGCCATTCAACACAAAGCATTAAGCAATTCCATGCAATAGAGATTGGAAGAAAAGAAATATGAATCATCCATCAAGTCTAGAAAGTAGAAATAGCTACATCCTATGGTGTTTCCCCCAAAAATTGGGGTTTAGTTCATGACGAGATCAAAAGATATAACCATAGTTGTATTGTTCATAATACCAATCCAAGGAAAAGAGAAGAAGCTACTCAGAAAAGATAAACGATGGTCACGATCCGTATCCGCTAGTCGTAGCTCCGCGTGGTCTCTCCTGCCCTCGATCCCTTCGCCAGTCGCCTGCGGTGCTGCTGCTTCCAATTAATTCCCCTCGTTCTTCCGTCTCGTCTCGATAATATATATCCCCTCCTCCTTACTGTTCCGCCTCCTCTTTTCTCCAATGGTCCCTTCAATTTAATACACTCCTCCTCAAACACTGCGTTCCACATTCCTCCCCGGAAAACAAACTACTTGGTCTATTTAATTCCAAATAATGCTCCCTCTTGAAAAGTTCGTGTGACCAACAACAATTACAAAGGGCCGGCCCCTGTCTTACTAAAATTTGTCATGCTGCCATTTTCTCAATTTCTTGACCTGAAACATACATAAAAAAACTCTAACACAGGATGGTAATGGCTTTTCAACCATTCCATAGTCAATTGGCCTTAAAACAAGCATTGTATGTCTCAAACATATCAAGATATAATCACATTAAACACATATAATCAATATGTTTTCGACAATTATCAGAACACATGGGAGGGGGCGGATTTGAATTAGAGATTATAAGGTGGTTGTTGACGTAGTCTTGTTTGTTAAGGATTTGTTTTTCCTTTTAAGTGTAGGATTTGGTCATTTGTTTGCTTCCTTTTATGTTGTGAATTAGTATTAGAGAGTATAAATAAGGGGTCGAGTTCCTCATTGTAATCATCAAGTTTTATTCAATCAAATACAAGTGAGTGTTTTGTGTTCTTTAAGAAAGTTTTGCTTAAAAATCCTTTGAGGATTCGGGAGGTTTGAGTGTCTCTTATCAACTAAAGATCACATCTAAATGTGGCGAGTTCGACGATATCGATTGGCTCTTCCCACTAGTTCGGAGTTGTTTGAAGAAAGAAGAAAAGCCCTACAAAAAGTTCGGCGTGTGCAAATATGATTTTTTGTCTGAATTTGAGTGGATTCTCGAATTAGGATCATATCAGCGACTTAATAATTCAAACGGTTCACTTATTCTCAATCTTTGTACCCAACAATACCAATTAAGAAAACAATTAGACGAGGGAATGGCATTATATGGAAAACAAATATACAAGTTACATAAGATAAGATGTTGTTGGGAGGGTTAAAAATTGCCTCCTGACTAAATTAGTCTGAGTTTTCGCTTACTTGATGCCAATTCTTACCAAGAATGACAAACCAAGGCTTACAGGTTCAAATGAACTTTGGGTATATGTGGTGGATCGAATAGTTAACTATTAATTATACAACTGATTCGTCTTTGTGAGGATCGTCGTTGACGGCAGGTTTGTAAGAATGAAGCATGTAGTTGCAAGCTCCCACAGCTTCTCCTACCGTTAAAAAGATCCATTCTGGACCAAGGTTGTCGATGAACTTGGCTTTGTTAAGCTTCTTTGTCACCTCTGCTCCAGGGTTTGCCAGCGCCAGCTGCAAATAAAATCGACCAAGTTCATTCATCGGGCGATTACAAAACATTCTCAATCTGGTTATGCTTCAATAAATCAGATTTGATCACTAGTGAATTTGGGTTACCTTTAACCCTCTTCTGTCAGTCACCTTCTTCACTTCCTCCAGCATACTAATCCCACTTGTGTCGATGTTCCCAACAGCTGGCCATCCACACATACATTAAAAGGAGTTTACTTACATAAAAATGGTCCATTAATTCTAAATCATGTTGGTTCAAATTTGAGTGACAATACCTCCCATGTCTAGAATAACATATTGGAGGCTGGCTTCCCCTGAAATCTTCAACCTTTCTTCTTCATCATCAATCCACCTCCCTATCCTGCATTATTTGACAATATTCAATCTTGTAATTGATACACGATTTAACTGGTACGACGAACGAACGATGATTAGAATATTAATGCAGAATTGCATATACATACCTTTCCCTCAAATAGGAGGAGTTTGCAAAGTAAATCGGAGCATCAATCTCAAGCACCAGGACACCGGGCACCGTCGCAGCATTCGGATATTGTTCAACATTTCTATAGATGCCCGAATTGGAAACGTTCCCAAGGATGAATGTTTTTGGTCTCGCCACAAACAAAAGCACTCGTAGGACAGAGATCCCCACCTGAACCAAAACAGAGCATCGACAACTACAATTACCACATAGAATTGAATCCTTGTGCAACGTAATGTGTGTGGTGTGTGGAAAACACATACGGCGAGGACCAATCCAATCTCGACGCTAGCGAAAACGACGCCAGCGTAGGCGCTGATGCAGACGAGGAAGTCAAACTTATCGATGCTCCAGAGGTGGAGGGTGGCCTCGACGTCGATGAGGCCGAGCATCGCGGAGATGATGATGGAGGACAGCACCACGAGGGGAGTGTAGTGGAACAAGGGCGTAAGGAAGAGCAATGTGAGCATCACGGCTAACGCCATCACTATGTTCGACACCGCGGTCTTGCATCCAGCGTTGAAGTTCACCGCCGACCTCGAGAACGGCCCTGTGGTGAGGTAGCAGGAGGTGAGGGAGCCGACGACGTTCATGGTTCCAATGGCGATCATCTCCTTGTTGCCATCAATGTGGTAATTCTTGAACATGGCGAAACTCCTCCCAACGGCGATTCCTTCCTGCAACCAGAGAAAATTATCGACATTATGCAAAATACAACATCAAGTGAATTGGGGGAGAGGGTGAATGGTAAAAGAGAATTACAGCGAGGGCAATGACACCGGTGACGATGCCGGTCTTGATGGCGGTGGACAGATAAGGTGACACGAAGACCAGATCACCAAACGACAGCGGATTGAGTCCTTTCTTCAGTTGTCCTATCTGCCGCAATAAAAGCAAGAAGAAGACAAACTCAAACACACAAGATGCAGGGGTCGAAAATGGTCGGGCCCACTAGGAATATGTCGTCAGAATCCAATAGAGAAATAAGTTTGTAGGGGCCTAGTAAATAGAAGCCCTAACACATTATTGGCGAGGCCCACCGAATGTGCAACCATAACGTTTTCTTTTTATGTTATGTGCTTTGAGAAATGGACTGGGCCAATTAGAGACATAAAGAAGCAAAGGGGGCCGAACCACATTTGTTGGGAGCTCTTTTAGGCCTCGGTCGCTATTTGCTTTCTTTTAGTGGTGGTCCAAATTTCAATAAATCGTGATTATTACTATTAATAGTAGTTGTTGTTAATTTTCCGAACAAATTAAAGAAAAAGAATTGAGTAAGATGAAAAGGAAAGCTCTTTCATTTCAAATGCGATAAGAACCCTAATTATATATTAACAAAGAAGGACAATTATAGTACAATGTGAAAAAGGGATCGGTAAATCATAAATAATAATTTGTAAGCTTTTCGAATTGATACTTATGAATGTCGAATAATGTATTAGTTACAAGCCATTTGTTTAAATTTTGGAACTCCAGGAGCAAGGTAAAATAAGGAATTATAAGTGAAAGGGGGAAACAGCGTATTAGAAAATAAAGGAAGTAGAGGTGAAGAGACTAGTTTATTAGTTGTTGCATTCAACCCAACCATGATCGGTCTTTCATGTTTCTCAATTATTTTGGGATTCGACTATTATGCTCTAAATTGTTCGAGATACAAATTAAATTTGTATCATAACTTTGAAAGTATAAATTTGTTTGTACCATAAATAAATTTGTATCGGTTATATCATAATATGAAGGTATGAATTTAGTTTGTAACATAAAACAATGCGTTCAAAAATATATAGACATAAACTGGATTTGTATAATAACATTAAAAGTATAAGTTCGGTTTATATTAAAAAAAACTTTTGATTAGACCAACACACAAAGATGTGAAGTAGTGTAAAATTCGTATTACTTGTTCTGATCAAGTTAAAAAGTAATAGAAGTCTTGGGTTTCATGTCCAAAAGAAAGTTTTGGAAACAAAGGAAGAAAAGTTGACGAGCTGGGTGGCCGATTATATAGCAGTTTTGAGTTGAGACGTACTTATTACATGCATTAAATCTCAAAATAGGCGAAGAATAGAGAGTAATTATTGGCAAAGCTGGTAAAAAATGATGACACGTTGACAAAATAATAATAATAAAAGAAAAATAACAATAATAATAATTACCACTTGGACGCCATGTTTTTCCGCGTGGGTGAAATAAACGAGAAGACTTCCCAGGATGACTGATGTGAGCGGGGCCAGCGCCGAGACCCAGAAGAACTTTGGTCGTTTCTTGCTCTGCGCCAGGTTTCAGTTTCAACACCCCCACTAATTAATTCTTCATTAATTGGCATTATTATATAGATGGAAGGAATCACTCTAGTCTCCATATACATCCAAAAAATGAAAATGTTAGACCAAATGGACGAGTCTGAACTCTTAGTATTCATAGGTTTGAAGAATACAGAACAAGAATAATAATAATGGTATAGCAAAGCGAGCAGAGATTAGGAAGAGGGTCACGAGAGCAGGTTTATTCTTTCTTTTTACGAACACATTAATTAATGCAACCATACCAATAATGCACATCTGCTTTCTTTGTCAACTAACTAATTATATGCATAGCTCATTTCATTAACTTTTGGAATTAGTTAACAAGTTGATGTGTACATGTCTAGACCGTAGAAGAAGCAGATGACGTAAATGGTTGAGTAGAGAACAGAACACAGCAAACCCACATCCTCGATTATTGCGTAATACTCTATATATAGTGACGCATACCTGATTCTTCAGTCTCCAAGTGATTAATCATTAATTAATGATCAATCAACTGATGAGTAATCAGTAACGCATATATATGCCTGGTTCGAACATGAGTACTTACGTACTAATAAAGCTACCACTATAATATATAAGAAAATCTAACTACGTAATTAGCATAGTTTTAGTTAACAAATAACACGGACGCTTCCTAATCGATCTGCGATAATTGAATGCGTACGTAGAAGGGTGCAAAAGATGAATGAACTACTTACGAATTGTCTGGTGACGAGGAGAAAGAAGAGGAAGCAGAAACCCAACAGAGCACTTTCCCACCTCCACTGCACACCCACCCAAAAGCAAATTAAGCAAAGGAAAGTTCCTTGTCAGAAACGGGGCAAAATGGCAAATCATGCATCTTTATGGTTATGAATGAATCTTAATTGACGGAAAGTAACACTAACTTTTCTTAGCTAATTGTCATGTGTGAACACTAATCGGTCGCAATAATAATTGTAGATAAGTGGGACAGCAAGAGTCAAAAAGCAGTCAATTATATATATATGACGCAAAGTGATCGAGTATACGTAGAGGATCCTGCATTAATATGTATATATGTAATTTCGACAGTCCAGGACGGGGGGCGGGAGACATTAATTAATTAAGCATTGAATCGTCTAATCAGAAAGGCAATTAGTGGTGGTAGATGAAGTAAGCAATTAATTAATTTAACCTGATGGGTTTGTGAAAAAACGGAGCGCATAACGGAGACAAGGTCGGTAGCGTGGGTAAAATGGTCCAGCCCTAGTATCCCTTTAAGCTGCTGTAGGATCACCACCGTCGCTGCCCCGCCCATGAATCCTACTATCGTCGCATGCGACAGAAAGTCCACGATGAACCCTAACCTGCAACCAAATTTCCCACTACTAATTAACCCAAAACATAATAATCACCTTTTCACAATATACAACACAGAATTTCAAATACTCGTAGTAACTTTGCACTCGATTATTAGCGAAATTATACTATACTCAACTCAGAGAGTAAGCTAAGCTTTACCACCTGGCAAAGGGAATATTCGCTTTTTAATTTAAGTTATCTGTTTTTGGGAAACAATTTTTCTTTTTTTGCTATTTTGAGTCGTGTGTATTTATCCTGTTCCATCTCGAAGTTGGGAAACGTGTTGATCATCCCGTCCATCTTTTCTGTCTTTATTCTCCTCCTCCTAACAACAATCTGCCAATCTCATCAAAACAGCAGATCGCTACCTCGAATCTTGTCTGGTTATCTCATCAATATCCTACGTATTAATAAATTCTTCTCAGTCAATCATGAAGGAAAGATAAAGGCGGTATCGCCAACAGTACTCCTACTAGCAGACGTATAAATGGTGACTGTGTTACGACAGTTGACAGAGAAAAAAACGAGAAGCTAGCAAATGCAGATTGGACATCACTCACGGACAGAAAGAGCACAAGAACCAGCTGGTTGGTGGCATGGCCATGGCAGATGTTTCATAGCTTTATATTTATAATATAATAACAACGTGGAAAAGTGATAATTGATCTACTCCATCTCTCCATCGCCTTTTTTGTGTCACTCTAGCTAGTTATAGATAATGCTTGCTCAAAGTCGATCACCTTTAAACTCTACACCAACCGTTGATTTTTTTTTACGCCTTTTTGGTTATATTTGTTGACTAAAATAATGCAACACGTACGTGTGTTAATTGGGTTAAAGGAAATAGATTTACCTGAAGAGCCCAAGCGCAGCTTGGAAAAGTCCGGCGAAGAAGGTGGCCGTGAAAGCCAGGTGCAGGTACAGCTGGGGATTCTCGGCGGCGCTGACTTGGCTACCGAGCATGGAAGCCGTCAGCAGTGAAGCCACGGCCACCGTCCCCACCGCCAGATCTCGCGAGCTTCCCATCATTGCGTACACCAGCGCCGGAACGAAACTTGAATCTGTATGCACGTACGTGTCCCCCCGACCCAACAAAAAAAAAAAAAAAACAGACAACATGAATTTATTCTTGCACAAAAAGGTAAACTATATATGTATGCTACCACAGTTTTTACTGTTGGGAAAATGATAAAATAAAAAAAAAAATTATTCCACACTTCTTAACTAACTTTATTCTTTTATGAAAGGTAACTAATCTGAATCTTTGTTTTTTTATTTTTATTCATTTATAGATTCGACTTTCGGTAAGTAAAAAAATATTTTCAACTACTATAAATTATAAGAAGATTCTATATATACTTACAGAGGCCGAGGATGGGGGGAAGGTTGGCGAGCTTGGCGTAGCTGATGCCCTGCGGGATGGCCAAGCTGGCGATGGTGACGCCGGAGATGAGGTCAGCCTTGAAGAACTCCAAGCTGTAGCGCGGGCCCCACTCGAGGATGGGGAAGAAGTACTGCAAGCCCAGGAGGAGCTTCCGGGGCGGGCTCTGGTTCTTGAACTGGCGGAGCGGGTCGTCGGGGAAGAAGGTCTCCTTCAGGTTGTACTTGAGGGACTTCACGAACGGCTGCGGCGGCGGAATCGCCACCTTGTGGGAGTGGGAGGAGGAGTTATTATTATCATTATTGCACTCCCCAGCCGCCGCCGCCGCCTCGTCGGAGGTTGACGGGTACACGTAATCCGCGTTGCCCATACAAACACAAGCAGGGGAAGAAAAAAAAACTTATTTTAATTTTGTTGATAAATTCTTTTGGGTTTTGGGGGATTGGTGAGCAGTGGGAGTGAGGGAATGGAAAGGCGGTTGGGGGAGATGGAGCATTTATAGCGGTAGAGGGAAGGGAAGAAGAAGACTACTGGTGGTAGTGTACGTTGTGAGTGGGGAGGTAGAGACTGTGGTGGCGGTGTGGGCCATGCGGCGAGACTCGTCTCCTCTCGTCTCATCTCATCAACAAAGGTATATCTAATCTAATCTATCTCTCCTCTCGTCGTCGATCCCCAAAGCTGCGGTGTAGTGCTGGGAGGGTCCCACATCTCATTTCATGATACACGACCTGCTTTGCCTCGAGAAATTCTACAATGCAATATAGTATTGGTGCTATAGGATTTTGCCTTTATGGTACAACTTAAAATTGTACGTTTACGTTATGGTACAACTTCATACTGTACCTATACTTTTTGTACAAATTCTTTCATGGTATAACTTGAACTTGTACCTTTATGTGATGGTACAACTTCAAGTAGTAAAGTTGTACCATAACATAAAAGTACAAATTGCTTTATGGTACAATCTAAACTTATACATTTAATGTTATGGTACAACTTTAAGTTGTACATTAAAGCACCAATACTATATAGTATAGTAGAAGTGCTCTTTGCTAACATGTTTAATTGTGCAAATTTCATCTTTGTTTGAATCTTTTCTTCAATAATTACCTGCGGATCCGGCGATTAATTAGTATTTGTGATTTAATCTGTCACGTAATTTCGTGAATTTAGGTGTCGTTTGGTTTTGATGATAGTTTGGTTGATATAGTTACAATGCATACAAGGTTCACAATGCATCATTTTTTTTATTTTTCCTGCACAAACAATACATGCATTGTGTGCTTGATGTGACACAAACTATCACTCAAAATAAGTGATGGTTGAGATTGTTGTGTTTTTTTCTTCTTCCAAATATGTCCCTACCTTTTTATGTGTGTTGCTTTTTTATACTAAAAACAAAGGGTAAAAATGACATTTCACCCATAGAGTAATATAATTTATTTAAACACTACAATGACTATCACAGAATCCAAACAATGTAAACTACAATACACCAATTTTCTTGTATACATATATTTTATGCAAAATACATTTGTATACCCAAAACTTTCGCATGTTTGCCAATAATAGCCAATTTTGGAGAAATACCACTTATAGCCAGTTCCGTCTTATTCTTTAACGGTGGTAGCTAATAGATTGACGGGACAAATGAATATGCTGAGTTGGCGAGTTTCTCCCGTGACATTTTCACGCTGGATTAATTTTAAAAATTAAAAAAAGGCAAAATACACCTGTATAGCCATAACTTTCACACTTTTGACAAATATAGCCATTTCTATTCGAAAACCACAAATAGCCCAAAAAACGGAGGGTAGTATGACAAATCTAGCCAAAAACGTTAGAAACTTTAACACTGTATGCGATTCCATTAACTCGTTTGACGGAATGCTGACGAGGACGGAATCCGACCTCCACATGATTGACACTTCAGCAAAATGTACACGTGGAATGCCACGTGTAGAAAAAAATGTTATATCTGCTTACTTACCCCCTTCTCCTTCCCTACAACCCGAAAAACAAATTCTCACGATTTAGGGTTCGCACCTGGTGGAGACGCCACCGCCGCTCGAGACCACCACCGCTGTCATTCAGTCCTTTTCTGCTCGCGCATCTGTCGTTCCGAAATCACCATTATCTTCTCGATTTGCAGCGATGTCACAGCGGGCTCTTCCTCAGCGACCAACCTCAGCGGGTGTGGGACTGTGCTTTGCAAGCACAACGTTCCCGCCGTGATTAAGACGTCGGGTACCGAGACTAATGTCGCTTTCCTTCTTTACAGCGAGCCACAACTACAAAAAGACACAAGAAAAGGAGGTAAGAAACAGCCTATAAGTACATCCTACCCATAATCGAAACCTCCAACCAACCTCTCTCTGAAAAACTCACCAATCGCGCCAGAATGTGAAAACCAATCGCGCCAGAATGTGAAATTAGGGTTTTGGAGAATCGGCGAGAAAAGACTTACCTATGCTTCGTCGATGCGTTCTTCATTACTAGGATGCTTGGGTTGCATCGAGAAACGGTGGCCGCCGGTGGATTAGTCAGGATGCATGCCAGAGTTCGTCATTGGAAGGGACGCGAAATCGGGGATGATAAAAGCTGAAGTTTTCGGGGTTGGGATGAGGATTTATAGAGGATTAGGGCGATGAACGGAAGCTGGAAGGGGGTTATCGGAGGAAGATCGGAAAAGGGGGGCGAAATCGGTCGTCGTCAGTCTCGTGGTCGGAGGAAGAGAGGTGAAGGGGGAAAGAAAAACGAAGGGATAAGAAAGAATGGACGAGTCACGAGTGGTGGTGGGCAGCTGGGGCACTTTCATCTTTTATTTTATTTTATTTTATTTTATTTTCCACGTCTGATTTCCACGTCGGAAGGTGGGGTAACTCAGTGGCCAACTCAGCGCAAGCCGTTATTACAGTCATAACGTCTACTAACACCGTTACCAAAATGGACGGAATTGGCTATTTGTGGTTTTCGAATAGAAATGGTTATATTTGTCAAAAGTGTGAAAGTTATGGCTATACAGGTGTATTTTGCCTATAAAAAAAAACGGAAACTGAAAGGTCTCCACAGTCCCTCCCTTCACTTTCCCCTTCTCTCCTCTCTTCGCATCTCTAATTATCCAAACCACCGTCGCCGTCGATTCCGCCGCTGCAGCCCCGATGCCGCTTTCCTCTTCGCTCCGGGGTTGCCCAGCCACAATACCCTTCCCCTCCTCTCCGACGAGAACCCCGCGGGAATGGAGATCGATTGACAGTGCAGGGTCTTCGCAGCTGTGAGAGGAGTTTTTGCCGCTGTGGTGGTGACCCAATGAGATGCTAGACCACGTATGGCTCCCTGCGCTTCTTCCTCTTCCAGATGGAGCTAGTAGTAGACAAATCTGGAGGGGCTGTGGGGCATCTTTGAGAGGGGGTGGGGGGGGGGGTTGATGAATCTGGAGAAAGTTCCCGGACGCGATTGGTACCGAGTCAGCGGCGCGGGGTCGGTGCGCTTGATGAAGGCTAGGGTGCTGTGATTTCCAAAAGAACCCTAATTTCAAAATGGGGAAAAAGTTGGGGATTCGGCGTGACTCGTCGAAGCAGATAGGAAATATTAGGATAATTTTTTTTAATTATGATGTGTAAATAATAAATAATTTAAATATCTGATGTGTCATTATTTGCTTATTTGGCACTGACGTGTCCGTTGAGTTGGCGTCTAGTCAGCAAACCGTCAAATAAGTTGACGGTGTTATTAACACCGTTAAAAATTCTAACGGAAATGGATACATTTGTCCTACAAAACCTTAAAAGCTGGCTATAAGTGGTATTTCGCCAAATTTGGCTATTATTAGCACAAACGTGAAAGTTTTGGCTATACAAGTGTATTTTGTCTATATTTTATTATGCATACATTGATGACAATGCATCGATTTAATTATCACCAAAACCAAACGACCCAAAGGTTTGAGTAGAATAGTCTTTGGACATAAATACAAATGGATGGAATAGCACGTAAATTAAGCGATCAATTTCTTTTTTGTATGGTTAACTGGTCAAATTTTTCTATGGTTAAGTAGGTTGAATCTGATGAGAAGAAGAATATAACTTAATTAATTTGTCATTTTTTTCGTGGGTTAGCTAAAATTTTGTGGTTAGGGACTTTATGAACAGGATTTTCACCAGTATAATTGCTTTTTCTGACATTACTTCCTTGCTTTTTGATTCAACACTGAACACACTAAAATCACAAAGAAATGAGCGATTTCTCTCTGTAGAATGCATAGAGCCAATGGGAGATTAAACAAACGCATGCATAATATTGTTAACTCAGTCGGAAATATTCAAAGAACAATAAACAAACACCGGATTTACGTGGTGTCCCTGGAGATTCCAGGACTAATCCACAGAAGAGGGTAAACCCCTTCAAGCTATTGATAAGTTTAACTGAGTTCTTGTAGTGTTACGATCGAAAACCTCCTCACATCACTATATATACGAGGTTGCTCCCATAAAACGCTAAGACGAGAACTACAACTCACCAAACGTCAATGCATGAGTTACATGGCATAATGGGCTACTCTAGTGGGCTACGTATGTACATAATGGGCTGGAAAATAAACAAGCAAAAGACCACTATAGTCCGCTAACAGCATCCCCCAAATTGATGCTGGTTCCATAGAAACAATTGGCTCGACAGATACCAATGATGGATCGATGGAAAAGGCTTGGTCAAAATATTAACAATCTAGTCCTCCGTGCGAACATGAAGAACTGAAAGAGTACCAACATAAACCAAACCACGAACATAATGAACTAAGATCTCTGTATGCTTCGTGCGATCATGATGCACTGGATTGACCTCAATAAGACTTGCACTAGTGTTTTCCACAAAGAGATCCATAAGAAGCGGACAAGTGACTCCCAAGTCACCTAGAAGTCAACGTAGCCACACTAGCTCGGAGCTGACATCCGATATCGCCCGATACTCGGCCTCGATGGAAGACTTAGAGACTTTATCTTGTTTATTACACCTCCACGAGATAAAGGCATCGCCAAACTGAATGCACCAGCCAGTAGTAGAGCGACAAGTATCAACACACCCAACAAAGTCAGAATCTGAATAAGCACAGACATTAAGAGAACTGGTAAAAGGAAAAAGTATACCCCACATCACAAGTACCCTGCAGACAACGAAGTATCCGATGAACCACAACTAGATGATATGTACGAGGAACAGACATAAACTAATTGACGGCCTTAACAACACAGGAAATATTCGAACGGGTGGCAGACAAGAAGATGAGACTCCCAACAATACTCCGATATTGAGAACCATCATGAAGTAATGTACCAGAATCACTGTCGAGCTTCAAGTTGGCCTCAATCGGAG